ACCTGCAAAAACCTTTCTGTCGAGTGATGTAAATAAATTTTACAATAGTGTATTGTGCATGCATATTATATTTAAAGTTGCTTAAGCGAAATCAAGGAGTTTATAAGACTGGTTTATTCATTCTTTATACTGTAGACATGTAGAACATATCCGCATTTGTGCATCAATGTCTGTAATGTGTGCTGTAGGTGCGAAATTTTAGGAATCTTATCCAAGTTGTAGGCTAGTCAATATTGTTCAGTCAGTCGTATCTGAGGATTCGAGAATGAAACTGACCACAAACACCATTAACTTAAGTGAATTATATGGCAATAATCAGCAATATACTTTCATACAAATAACTTTATTTTTGAATGTTTCAATATGCGTTGACACAAATTACTTATTTTAATTTTCCATTGATACAACATGGCACTGAGTTGTTAGAAAAGAAATGTGTATGACGTTATTGCTTGATGACGTCAGGAACCAATGAATCGGCTTTTTGAACCGGTTCAATGAGCCGATCTGTCCGAAAAGTACCGGTTCGCGGAAATGAATCGGACTTTGCATCACTAAAGTCTGGTCCCTGTTTTTATACAGTCTATGGCAGGGATATCAAACTCAATTCCTGGAGGGCCGGAGTCCTGCAGACTTTAGATTCAACCCTAATTAAACACACCTGATCCAACTAAGCAAGTCCTTCAGGCTTATTCGAAAACTACATGGTGTGTGTTGGAGCAGGGTTGGAACAAAACTCTGCAGGGCTCCGGCCCTCCAGGAATTGAGTTTGACACCCCTGGTCTATGGTCTGGTCCAGCGTTTATCGGGTTGTGCGTCAGTAATAATGGTTCGTGGGGAAACACGGTGTTCCGTGTGTAGTTACAGTAAATGGACTTAACGAAGCCTCGAGGCAAATAATTTGCCTCGATTTTTTGTATTCGAGTTACTCGAGGTATTTGAGGAATCGTTTCAGCCCTAATTTGTACCTTTGATTTTGACACTTCCATTTAATCTATTTTCCCTTCTTGTTTATATTGCCCAATTTTGTTAAATCTGTTCTCTGACTCTTACCAGCTAGTGCTAGTAGTGTGATGGCCAGGATGCGGCCCATGTTCCTGAGGAAGTGTTGTGCTGTGGCACGGAGGCGGGCAGCTAACTGTGCCGCCCCACTGCTTGAGTAAGGACTCTCCTCATCTTCCGTCGCACTACAGGATAACATTTCCTCATCTTCTCCTTCTACATCATCATCTTCAGTTTCATCCTCCTAAAAAGAAGAGGACCGAGACGTGAGAAAGACTTAATTGATGCTGGGATGAAAAAATAGGCCACATTAGAATTACGTTTTTAATCCAAAATCCTATACATGCATTTTTATTTCTACTTGTGTTCATTAATCTTAGAGAATGGTGAAAGATATGAGAAACTGGTGAGCTCGTGTGACACAAACTTAAAAACCAAGACTAAGGATGTCAGCCTTTGAAAGCACTGCAAAAACAAATGTACTGTCTGAGAGAAACTGAGAAATAGATACAGTAAGAGACAGAAGCTGAGGTATGTAAAATGTGAACAAAACATCAACAAGGTGAAAGAAGTTTTTCAGGCATGTACACTTGAGAGTGTGTTACTCTTGGCTCCTCAGGGTCATAGCAATCATATCTGGCCATGCCTGCAGAGCCAGACAGGCATGTTTGCATCATGAGGTGTTTTTGGATGAAAGCTGAAACACTGTTCAAACCAGCAACCTGTTGCAGTCAAAGAGGCCTATAATACCTGGAGAGACAAAGTGTTTTTCCTTCCATACTATAGAAGTCAATGGCTACCGGCAACTGTTTGGTTACCAACATTCTTCAAAATATCTTCTTTTCTGTTCAGCGGAAGAAAGAAATTCATATGTGTTTAGAACAACATGAGGGTGAGTAAATGATGACAAAAAATTCATTTCTGGGCAAACTATACCTTGAAATCCCTGTTTTAGTTCAAAGCAAACAATCTACAGGTGAGGAATTGATTACTGTTGAAAACGTCAATTGTTACAATGTTGCATTGTTGTCCTGGTTCACTTGGTTCGCTTTCACAAGGCAATGTTCCAGAGCTTAACAAAATTGTATGTAAGTCACATGTGAGTAAAACTGTCCTCTCAATGGCCAAAGCGCACCTCTTTAGGTTCTGGGATTCCGCTCATAGCGTCATCCATCAAGATGGATTTACAAGTTCGCTCCCCGGGTTTACTGTGGCTTTATCTGTCATTACACAGGCCTTAACAAATGTATATGAGCCTTCATTCCTGCTATATATACAGTGGTGTGAAAAAGTGTTGGCCCCCTTCCTGATTTCTTATTTTTTTGCATGTTTGTCACACTTTAATGTTTCATATATATATATATATATATATATATATATATACATTCGTGTGTGTGTGTGTGCGTGAATATACACAGCATCTTTAATGCACCTGTTTTGTAGAAGGGCATTAAAAGACATTTCTCATTATGAATTAGAATAAAGCTTGGTTCTTTGGGTCAAATTGCCTTCTCACCACAACCAAAGTGCTCCAGAGTTTGATTTCATTCAGACGAGGCCACCTCACTCAGCCAATCTCAGATCAATCATGCAGATCTAAGCACAATCGCAGTGTTCATATCTATATGAACACAAACGAGCACAAACGAACTGAAACACACTAACCAGCCAAACCTTGATCCCTTTGTTTCCATCATGGGGTACCTTTAGTGTAAAACACACACACACACACACACAGAGCTTTCAAACTGGTGATCTGGTACAATATCAGTTCCTCACTGGATAATTGAAAACTTTGGATCCTTTCACGTATTTGAGAAGTTTTCAAACATCCGCCTTTTCTTGCTGGCACATACACCTCTGCTAGAATATACTTCTGAAATAAACTTTGAATCTTACAACAAAGCAAAGAAAGCTACTTATGTGTAAATAAGAGTGTGTGTATTCCATCTGTTAACTGAACTGAAGGGATAAAAATTGGTGCAACTGCATCAGAAGACAGAAGGCTCACTATCACTGTCTGCTATGAGGGCATCAAAAAGGTTCAAAGTAGAGCGTTAAGGCCTGTTCACTCTAAGGATGATAACTATAAGTATAAATAAAAAAATACAAAAACATTCTAGTTCAAAGAGAATAGTGGAGTCCACACCACAACTTTAATGATGATAATGATAACACAAAGGAACAATTCTATTTTCAGCTGACAAACAACACTGCCAGCCAATCAGAAACCACCAACTTTAAAGAACTCTAGTATTTAAAGCACTGCATAATTACTGTATAATAAAAAGCATAAAATTATTATCCATTGGTGTGGATGCTAATATAGACATCATTACAGAGTACTGCAGCAATGAGTCCTGAAACCCAGAAACAGGTTATCACATCCATTTGAGTGGGCTTATCAAAATGTTTTAACATTTTATTCTCTGGCAGAAAATACATCAGTATTACATCAATTGTGATTTTTAAAAAATATATATATTTTATGTGTCATGAAAAAGGTGTTTGCTAACTGGGATTATAGAGGTTGTCGGAGACATTAAACATCATCATGGTCAAAAGGAAGACTCATCTACTCACTAGTCCGCTTTTACATCCTCATTGTGTTTATAATCCCACTCCTGAAAACTATTTTAACTCAAACATTTTAACTTGCAGATTTTAAATAAAGATTGATAGAGCTGGTGGAAGCTTGACATTGAAGTCATGTGACAGTGGTGTAGTTTGTTTACAGCCTAACTATACCTTTTAACTTGTGACAATTGTATTTGAAAAGTTGTGTTCATCTGAAGATTTTCTTTAACAAAACGTGCAAGTATAGTAAACTTTTGTAGGTCACAGGCCTTATTCTCTGCAATAATACAAAAGTCAACGGAAAAATCCTATAGTGAAACCAGGGTGATGCTAACTTCAGGGTTGGCCTACAAAATTAAATGAACCCTTCAGCATTCCATAGTTAACGTTCTTGGTGTGAATGAGACTTTATACTCTATAACGTGTGATTTTAGAATATCAATAAATCTTGATTTTTACAGTGCATTTCCATAGTCTCAAACGGACTGTTCTAATGGATATTGAAGTGGCAAGAGTTTTGAGAAGGTTGCATGAAGTCAGCCAATCAGATTTGAGCTTGCCATATTGGTCAGACTTTCCGTGGGTATTCTGTTTAAAGGCTAAAATTACAAGTCTGGCCACAAGACTGCCCATAAACACAGAGGACCAGACGTTATGCCAAAAGTCTCATTGTGCAGGATTAACTTTGTTTTTCTTTTTAGTCCATCTGTCCTTTTGTCGATCTCTTGAACCCTGAATATGAAACCTGTGTTATGCTCCTTCAAAGGCACAGGAAGGCTGGATTCTTCCAGTCTTTTCAAGGCTGTTCAACTCAGTGTTTTATCAGTGTTTTAGTATTCAGGATCAGGGTCCTCCTTCATTCCACAGCCTCATATGACCCTATTAACACCCTCTCCAACACGAATCACAGAGCTGCAACAAGGCATCAGCTGCCCTTTGGAAAGATTCATGTAACAAATCTTCGGGCCAATCTAAACCTTAATTAGTGAGTTGGCTACACACTCTCAGAAAGAAATGTGCAAAATGTGTATCATGTTTTTACTCGTATCTGAACAACAGACTGAACAGAAGAAATGATCTGGAGAAGATTTTCTAGTCAAAGAAACCGGAGTCCTTGTGCACACCTACCTATTAAGTAATTTCCATAGACCGCTAGCAGTACAAAGCTGTTTAACAGCCGGAGAAAACATTTCCAAAAAGTTCACTGTGGCAAGCTCTTTCGAATTCCCCATAAACAAAATCCAAATGACCTTCATTTTGGCCTTATTTTGTTCAAAATGACGTCACACCAAATCATTCTTTGATTTTGCCTGAAGTATACCAGGGCCTAAAGAGTACATATTTCAACGCTAAGGTACTAGGTTGATTAACTAAAATCCAGTTTCACCACACTGGAAGACCAACTAAACCAGCAGACCAACTAAACCAAGCAGTTTCTTACTTTGGATAGCTTATCAATTTATCAAAAAAAGATTCAATGCCATGAACCTTGCATATTTCGTCAATGACTAGCTCGTCCTCTGGTGTGCTCATCGTAGCAGCCTGGAAGCTGTAAACAAAACAAGGTTTCCTGATGGAAAAATGCCAGAAGTTGTGTGGTGTTTGACATTATAAAAATGCCTGTTGTATTCGGAGTAGTTTTGTCCTTTTATCTATTTTCCATTTTTCCTTTCAAAGCTTTCCACTCCATGCATGTGTTGTGTACGTGAATGTTAAGTGTATTTAAGATCTATCTTTATTTATAAGTTTTATAAGTCTTCATAAGCCAGTCTACCACCTAACAATCATGACTAACTCTCCACATTACATGAAGAGTAATAAATGTAATTAAAAGCAAATTAATGCTTTGATTTTATTCAACAAACAATTTGTTTTTGTGATTTCACTGACAATTCCATGTTTGCATTAAAAGTTACATAAAAACAACTATATTAAATTTATTGTGGAAATTGGTGCACGGACATTGGTCTTTGTTGTAGCTTTTTTTTTTCTTCTCTTCAGCAAAACAGCAAGTGCAGAGACGTAAACGCATTTCATCTGATTGAACTGGCATCAGACTCCGAGTGCCGTGCCCACAACAAAGGCCAATTACTCAGTCCCGTACTGCGGGCCAGTGCTTTGGAATGTATTGTAATTATGTTGTTCCTACACCAATTTACAAGGCAGGTGGCAGCTAGTTGGCTACAATGCAACAATACACAACATTTTGGCATGAAGCATTTGTTACACTGTTGCAGAGGTCTTTTGGAAATGAGAATAGTAATAAGTGAAACATACAAAATAAAAAATAAAAATAGGTTTCCAGGACTTAAGAACCAGGGCGTATTACAGAAAGATCCTAACTTTAAAATCTTATCTTATCAGTTGCATGGCAATTTCAATTTGGCTCACATTTAGGACAAAAGTTATTACAGAATAGCATTTCCTAAGTGGGTTATCTTAACTACAGACAGGAAAACAGCATTACAGAAGCATCCTAACTCGCCAAAAATTCCTAAAACGGTCTTAACTTTAAGATAACCCCACTGGTGTCCCAACTTCAAACCTTTTTGAAACCCATCCATAAAAAACACAATACATTATCCCTTTTCGAGAATTGTATAACATGTATTAATCATACAAGATGAAGAGAAGCGAAGTTTGATGGTGGAGAGACTTTTGAAGGACCCAAAAGATGTGTTGCACTTTGATAATAAAATACTCGTAAATAATTACAGACTCCCACCACACATGATTTTACAGTTATTTCTAGTTCAAGTGAGCTTTATTGTCATTCCGCTATATGTGCAGACGTACAAATGTCGTGCCTCACAGGACCACAGTGCTACATATAGACAGACATATAACCCTATAAAAATATATGCATAGAGCCTATATACAGTATATATAGTTGACCAATTGCGACCAACATTACAGAGGCCCATGAGCCGTCACGGAGCACTACCGGTCATTCTGCAAGTTAAAAGCACACCGTTGTTTCTCCATTTTGATTTTATGCTAACCTCAGCAGCCACTTGCGCATAGTTGGTTAACAGACCTGATTGAGCGGTTTAAGATTTCCTAACTAAGATACGATTTTGTAAGATAAGATAAGAATGCTAAATCAAGTTAAGATTTGCTTCTGTAATACAAATTTGCGAAAAATCCTTATTTAACATATCTTATGTTAAGACCTAAGATAAGAAACTCTCTGTAATACGCCCCGTCTCAATACTAATTCATTTTTGCAAATTCATTCACTTAGATGGCATTTCAAAGAACTGTTTTAAAAGTTGCTTTAACAATTATAATAAATACATTGCTGCATTTTACTCATTCTTTTGCATTTGAGGGTGGAAAAGAGTCAGATAGTTAAGTAGAGGTCAGCTTTGGAGGTGTCTGGGAATAATATTTATATAAGTGTTATATATAGTGTTGAAACGGTCTCTACTGTTAGATTCCAGTAAAGCAGACACACATGCCTGGTTAAGCAGTTTGGGCCTCTATTGTTAATTGATCTTATCCACCTTTTTCTTCAATGTGGAAGTAAGCCTATGGGTGAGACTTCCGGTTCATTAGCCGCTATAGGTAAATAACGAGGAGAATAACAACGTGCAGTAAACCAGTGTTCATAATTAAGATAATACATTAAAATAATATAAGACACACCAACTTTCAATATCAAGCAGCAAAACGAACTGTTTTGTTCAGCTAAAAATAGCTGGACGGAGTGGAGGCAGATGAGACCGGAAGCCAGACCCATAGAATTTACAAATGGCCACAACCATTTTTGCGACAAGAAAAAGGTGGATAAAGATCCGTTTTTTCTATGCTGACACATAGCAAGTCAGCCAGCCAGTGTTTGTTGATGTTGTTGCCTTGGCAACAGCAGCAGGAAGTTGTCAGACTCTAGGCCACAGTACAGTGCTGGAATGGTGCAATGGTGAGTCAAATGGGGGAAAAAATTAAAAGAAATGTAAGAGCAAAAATCTCAATCATCACAGGGTGGAGATCGAAGAGAAGTCTACAAGTTTCTATGATATCATGTTCTCCAGACATAGCTTCGGTCAATGGGATTTTTTTTTGTTTTTTGTTTTATTGTCCACCAAAAAAAAATAAAAATAATTCTCTCTTTTGCCAATCTCTTGACCCAACAAGTCTAATGACTTACAAAAGTAATAGTTCAGCTTTCCTAAATAAACTGCATGATTGTCTGATTTTTGGTCAAATCACAAGACTATATGAGCAATAGTCATAGTGATCCTGGGTAATGTTTCTGCTTCTATTTTACTTTTTTTTTAATTTTAATTCTTGTTGCTATGTTTGTGAGAGTTACACAAATATTCATGTTCACCATCATAATACAATACAAAACAAAACTGCTGTGATTTTAGTTGCCATGTGATCTAGTGGTCAGGGCTAAAAGTTTTGACAGCCTATTTTTTAAATAATGATTTTACCATAGTGTTTTACACATGCACACACACACACACACACACACACACACACACAATTGGTTTTCATGTTTTTTAGTGAAACTCCGTAGTCATAATGATTTTTATACTGTACTACAAACTATACATTCTATCCCCTAATTCTACCCCTAAACACAACCCTCAAAGAAAACTTTTGACTTTATGAAAAAAAAAATTGTGTGATTTATAAACTGTTTTCTTCATGGGGACCAAAATCCAAACAAAAAAAAAATATATTTTTTTTTTTAAATGTTCCCAGGTCACACAGCACACACTTGCATTACATAGTATTTTGATTTCATTAATTTTCAGTCCAACAAAATAAAACTTTTTGGCCCACAAACAGTCCCTGCAATTATCTTCTGTTTACAAGTTACAATACTGCTGTTATTGAAAGCAGTAGATCAGCACCTGGGGAAGTCGTGGCCTAATGGTTAGAGAGTCGGACTCGTAACCCAAAGGTTACGGGATCGAGTCTCGTACCAGCAGGGATTGTAGGTGGGGGGAGTGAATGTACAATGCTCTCTTCCACCTTCAATACCACGACTGAGGTGCCCATGAGCAAGCCACCGAACCCCAAACTGCTCCCCGGGCGCCGCAGCATAAATGTCTGCCCACTGCTCCGGGTGTGTGTATGTTCACTGCTGTGTGTGTGTGCACTTTGGATGGGTTAAATTCCAAGTATGGGTCACCATACTTGGCCACATGTCACTTCACTTTCACAAGTGTACACACAGTCCAAATACATCAACACAAGATGTATGTACTTTGTAGTACTTTGAATTAGAATTAGTCTTGCAAGGCATTTTTATGCAATGTCTGGAGGATATAATATACACTTAGACAGGAAGGATCCATCTGACCAACTTATAAAATGATCAACCACATTTTTACATGATGTAAAGAGGCAGGTAATTCTCAAATCGATGATACCATAACAATGTGGTAGCATGGTGCATGTACACTTTGTGGTCAAAATGTACCTGAATCTTAAACTACTAAGTGCAGATTATTTTATGGATATAAGACTCAGCAATAAAACAGAACATGCAGTTGTTCCTGAGGATATCTCATTTGCTTGCCAAAGCTTCAGTAAAAAATAAATAAAGAAATACAAAATAAAGAAAGAAAATAAGTAATATGAAACCAAAAAATTGAGCGTGTCATTGCCATTTGTGCAATTTTAAGTATGGTTTATGTGTCCAAACATTTTTGGGACCACTATATCTTATGATATTTTTCGAAGATCATGAACCTTGTTATATTATGAACCTAAACCTTTCAAAAATCAACAAGTTTCTGAAGCGCTCATTGTATCAGTCTGGATGCATGCAAACAAATATTTGCCTCCCAGCAGAATGATAAAATCCCTGACTCACACAAGTGTGCCAATCAGTGAAACTGCAATCGTTGGATTACATCAGCACTAGCCACTGCAGCAGGCCATGGGTGGGCTGTGTGTGGCTCAGACTAAAGCAGCATTATTCAATACAGTCTCATAATAAGCGTCTCAAACATAAACATAACAGTAGATCAGCAGTAGGCCTGGTCTATACTCGGCTCAGCTCACCTCCTGGAGAAGTGTAGACATGTGAGGATTGGGCCCCTCCTCTCTCTTCTTCAACAGACAGCTACACAGTATCAGGGTGATCAGAGAAATAATGAAGATGCCAAGATCTGGGGTCAGGAGCCACACCATGCTCCAAGGATCCTCCAGCGGTAGCCTGCAAAAGCAACCACAAACTCAGCTATAGGGCTGCCCTCGACTAAAGATTTTTCTGATCGGCTAATAGTTGTTCATTTAAAGCTATTAGTCAACTAATCACACGTTTATATTAATATTAAACCATATAATTCATAATAATGAGCCTTTAATTGCCCATAGCCTATCAGCGCTCAAGCGCACGCATAAAGCTTGCCACAGCGCACCGCAGAAGCAATGATTATGAATGCGTTGGGAAAAAAACAGCAAGAAGACTGCCTTAACATTATAATAATTAATTGATAAACTAGTGTTTTCTGTATTTTCGGCTGCAGTGACGAAGTCGACGACATTGACTCGTCATCTCCACAGTGGACATGCACATTTCACAGGATTACATAATCTGAAAATATTTGTTTCCATTTGAATTGGTTCACTTAAAAGTAGACATTTTGCTTTCTATAGGTATATTTTTCATGTCTGTGAGGCAAGCATGGAGTTTCGGTTGTAAATTTTGGGGTTTTTTTTTGTTTTTGTTTTTTTGATGCGCTCAAGTTCACAGAGACCTAGACGGCAGAAAGTGCACCCTGATTGCTTTCATCACTTTACAAAAACACAATAATTTGTTGTTTTTGTGAGTGCACAGAAATAAAAGTAGACCTTTTACAGATTTGGAAGATGTATTACTTTTATCTGTATGACCAAAAATGACAGAGTATTTTAAGTTAAATGCAAATGATTGCACCGAGCGAGCGGGCAACTATTCAGCTGCCACACTCCGCACAAACACTTGAATAGCGCACATTTTTCTAGGTTAACGTTAAAGCGAGCAGCCACGCAATGATGCTACTACTTGCATGTTTCAGATGATAAACTACATTTGAGGTCCCAAACAAAACGATGTACTGTAATTACGACATAGACCAGCTGTTAATAATCTGTCCGTCACGTGACTTTGCCACTTCCTATGGATTTTTTTTTTCTGTCCCTGCGACTAAGTGACTAATAAAATTGGGATCGACTAAGCCTCTTTTCGTCGACTAACGGTTAGTTGACTATTAGGGGGCAGCCCTACTCAGCTGTTAAATGCCATATCTGAGCAATATGATGTTATACACATCAGAAAATGTAGACTTTCAGGCTTTTCATGAAGAAAAGAAAAGAAAAGAAAAGAAAAGAAAAGAAAAAAGAAGGATTGAAAATGTAGCCATCATTTGGAAATGAAATAAAACAAAAAATTTAATTAAATATGTGATCTAGCATTGATAATTTTCATGTGATGCCTCACATATACATGCTCTCATTCTCTACATACCTGGACACTCCAATATGTCTTGATAGAGTCTCCCATGAGCTGCCTACAGAGAGCGCAAGAGAGAAGGTTTGTATGCTCAGGATAAAATGAGTCACAATACTGTCTAAGTACTGGACACTGTCAAGTTGGCCATAAAGACGAGCCAACCGCAAGTGCCCTCGCAAAGCTACCGAAACATTTCCATGAGCCACTTAACTCTCCTTTGGCAGAGTCAGCCAAAGGCTACAAGCCCTTTATGATGTTACAGAAAATGTAGACTTTCAGGCTTTTCATGAAGAAAAGAAAAGAAAAGAAAAGAAAAGAAAAAAGAAGGATTGAAAATGTAGCCATCATTTGGAAATGAAATAAAACAAAACATTTAATTAAATATGTGATCTAGCATTGATCATTTTCATGTGATGCCTCACATATACATGCTCTCATTCTCTACATACCTGGACACTCCAATATGTCTTGATAGAGTCTCCCATGAGCTGCCTACAGAGAGCGCAAGAGAGAAGGTTTGTATGCTCAGGATAAAATGAGTCACAATACTGTCTAAGTACTGGACACTGTCAAGTTGGCCATAAAGACGAGCCAACCGCAAGTGCCCTCGCAAAGCTACCGAAACATTTCCATGAGCCACTTAACTCTCCTTTGGCAGAGTCAGCCAAAGGCTACAAGCCCTTGAAGTCTTTGCAGTCAGCCTGGCGACTCCATAAAGATGTGTGGGACTCAGGAATGATACATCTTGCATCGGTCTTTCTGGACAATTTTGGAAGGGAAGGCAAACGTCGTCCAAACCTCAAATAAAAGAAGGGCTAATAACTGTGGCTTCTCAAATGGATTACAGTAAATATCATGCAACTTGTGATTTTGGCAAGTCGAACAAGGTCCTGGATTAACATTCCTGTGAGATAAATTGAATTTTCAGATTTAGTTTAAATTAGATTTAGCTTTTGACACATCATTTCCTTCTGATTTTATAGGTACTAAGGTTTAGGGTTAGAAAAAAGGACTTAGTTAACCAGACTGTTGTTTTGGAACCAACAAAAAATGTAGATCCATGAACATGTCCTGCTTGACAAAAATGACGGTCACCTGAGAATGCCCTGTTGGAAAATTCAGTTTAATCTGGTAGCTGTGTTTTGAAACATAGCTTGCTTTTTGCCATAGCATCTTTGGATCAACTTGTTGAAACAAGAAGGTTACTGAATACACAGATTAAAACTTTGGTGCCGTATGGTTTGAATGTGGATTTTAAATGGAGGTTTTTTTGTTGTTTTTTTACACATATGAGATTGAAGCTACATATGTATTTTTAAAGTATGTGTGCACATATGTATAGGTTACAGGATTTGTGACTTGTGGCAGTTAAGTGACACAACTGATGCTGGTAGGTCACATGACAGTAGCTAAATTTACATGGATATATTTTGTTTCAGTCAGACTGAAATCATTACGACTGATGAACTTGAACGTAGTGTTTACATGAATGCTAAATAAAGAGATTGGGTTGATGTACGAGTTTATATGTCGCAAGCTTCAAATCAGATTTGATCTTCTGACATTCGCACACTGCATGAATATACTGTACAAATATGAGTTTGCCGCTATTTCAAGAAGAGCATACTAGCCAATAGCCATCCTATAAATTTCAGGTCCTTCTTAGGAGACGATGAGCAAACAAAGCTTTGTGCCATGCTGCTTATATTTATCAAGCAGTAAAAATGCCACTTCCCACACCCAAAATGAGGTGTCTGTGAAAGAAAGTCTGAGCAAGGACTGGTGGGACAACATTTGTCCTGCACCATTTCACAGGCGATGACTGGAAGAATTTTACAACGACAACAGCCATTTATGACACTTATGATTCAGCAGCTCGTTCTTTGTGTCATACGTCATTACACCATTTCTACGTCACTGCAAATGTGCATAACTCTCCAGTTTCAGTTTTCAATCCAATCAAGTGTTTACATGTCCTACTGAATGGATTAAAAATGGTTTAAACCTACAATCTGAATGACATTTTTTTAATCGGATTTAGACAATTCATTCTGATTGACATGGTTACATGTGTCTTTTTTACTAGTCCGATTACAAATGGATTATTAGGGACCATGTAAACAAAGCTAATGAAAACATGGCCAACATAGTATGTCTGGATTACATTTATACTACAAAGAACATACTTTTTTAATAGTTACAAAGTAGTGTTGTCAAAAGTACCAATGTCGGTACTGAAATTCTAAAAATATGACGATGCCAGCATTTCCCGCTAGCATTTTGAGCGCTGTTGAGAGGATTCTTAAACAGCTCTGATTGGCCATTGTGTTCACGCGCTAAGATATATTAGGGATCCACTACTGATAGACACGGCTTTCAAACGCTTCCGGGTGTATATGTGTAAGCGCTTGGTGAAGAGCGTGAAGCGATAATCATTGGAGCCAATCACAGACATATCTGTTGAGCACGAGAACATAATGGCCACTCAGAGGCATTACCGCGGGAAGTAGGGGTGCTGAGGGTGCTGCAGCACCCCCTGGCGTGTAGCCCAAGAAAAAATGGGGGGGCTGGGGGTGCGGTGTTAAAAATAAATAAATGAAAATTTTGTAACAAAAAATAAATAAAACAAATTTTATTCATTTGTATATTCATTCAAATTCATAGAAAAAATAGCCTAAGCCTACAGTGACAATAAGCAACAGTAAAACATGAATTAAGTTTAATCAAATTGATTGTGAAAGTCGTTTCAACTTAAACTGACTTAGGAAGTCGTTTGTTGCCATGACTTTTTGATCATATTATTATCTGTAACATGTCTGTGCCGGACCCAAATCAAGAATTAACAACCATTTCTACAGCCATTGCGAAGATTCAACCGAGAAAGAATGAGAGCGTCTATTACCTCAGCAGCAACCAATAATAATAACAATCTCGCATACTTGCTTCTACTGTGCTTATTTTGATATTTAACGTTAGAACTTTAATATTCTTGGAACAAAATTAATGCTTAATTCAGTATTACTCTTCATGAAAAAAAAAATCCCACACACAACATCAGCAATACTACAATGACAAAGTAGCTTATATTAAACATAAAACAAAGGCTATATAATAAACAACACAATGACAAATTCACTTATATTAAACTTTGAACTTTTATTAACAATATGAATAAGGAAAATATGTTTTACCCGCATTGTAACACAAATAAATAAACTGTCTTTGGATTTCCCCTTTTTTTAAAACAATCGTAGTTTGTGGTTCATTATTAGCCTATTAATTAAAACACATCAGCCATAAAATAAGATTCCGCTCAGCAGCGCTAAAAATGCTAGCGGGAAATGCTAGTATCGACACATTTTTTAAATTTCAGTACCAATGTCGGTTCTTTGGACAACACTATCACTAAGTAATTACTTGTTCAAAAGAAATACCTACTCAGCCCGAGAAGACAAAACGTGACATACAGATCTGTCTGTGACCTTCATTAATGTTTTAGTTGATCAAGACAGGTGTGTTAAAGGGGTCATATGATGCTTTTTTAAAGATCATTATTCTTTAGTCTTTGCAACTTCAGGGATCTTATCTATGCACAATCAGCTTGTAACACTCCAAAGAGAAAGGAATACTTGAAATCGCATCATATGACCCCTTTAAGTAATTTTCCAACACTGATTGAGATGAACACATTTTTCACCTGTGAGTAATTACTGACTTCTGTTCTCATTTTGAGGAAATTGTACTTTGACAAAGGCGGTTAAAAATAAAGTCTAAGTGAGTATGAAGTTATACAGTATATTTTTTATTTACAAAGACCATCTTGGACCAGCAACAAACCAGCTACCAGCTTTTGGTGGTTCAGTTGGCTTTGAACATGTTAAGTTTGCTGGTCAACTACCTACAGAACAGCCTGGACATAGGCGGAGCGTGTGTAAGGCTGGGGAAGGCTTAGCCTTGGGGCAAAAATGCCACTAAATTGGACAAAAATGCCCCTGCACAAACAAATTCAATCTATTACGTCTGTTGCTAACAAATGGCGCTTTTCCACTGCATGGTATGGCACGGTACGGTTCACTTTTGGGGGGTTTTCCACTGGGTACAGTACCTGGTACCTGGTACTTTTTTTAATACGTTGGGGTTCCAAGTGAACCGTTCCGTTACCAAAATGTGACGTGTAAACTCTGCTGATCACGGATTGGCTGGAGAGAATCGTCACTACCTGCGTCACTGAACTAGCGACAGAAACACAAAAGAACCGCTAGATTTAAATCAGCACAGCCAGCGAAGGATCGAACGCAACTGTTTTGAACGAGCG